TAAGCGGCGGAGATGTGATAGACATAAAGAGTTCCCATACATGTTCCCTTACGTAATGAAAATCAACTTCAAAGTGTTTAGATCGCTTGTGCATAGCAGGGGTACCAGAGAGATATACAACAGACAGGTTGTCACAATATGTTTCTGCCGGTGATGTTTGAGGAATACCAATCTCACGCAGAAGGTTGCCAATCCAAGTTAATTCAGTCGCCGTATCATACAGAGTCCGGTATTCTGCTTCCGTGGAACTCCGAGAGACTGTGGTCTGCTTTTTAGCAGACCAGGAGATAATGTTTCAGCCTAAGAACGTGCAGAAACCACCAGTGGATCGTCGTATCTCAGGGCAACCGGCCCAATCACTGTCACTGTAAGCACGAACAGTGAAATCAGTTTCAGAAGTGAAATTTAACCCAAAGTTTGTTGTTCCTCTGAGATAACGAAGTATTCTATTCAACAGAATGAAATCAGCAGCAGATGGAGAGTGCATCTTTTGAAAAATGTACTTCACTGCAAATTGAATATCTGGTCCTGTAAGAATTAGATATTGCAACTTGGTAGCTAAGCTACGAAAGTACATTGGTTTCGAGAACATTTCATCTTGTTGTGGAACTCTGTCAAGCTGTAATGGGAGAGGTGTGTTATAGACAAGTAATCGGACATACCCACAATATGTAGTAAGTCCTCTGCATATTTCTCTTGATTTAGAAAGAGACCATTGTCATGAAAGTGAGCCTGAATTCTCAAGAAATAATGCAGGCAGCCCAAGTCTTTCATTTTGAATTCATTACTCAGAGTTGTGAGGAATGTAGCAATCAGAGTATTATTGTTGTCAGTCAAGACCATATCATCAACATAAAGAAGAAGCAAGATAACATCCCCACCACGAAAATAAACAAAGGGAGAAGGATCGGAGGTGCAGCAGATAAACCCAAAATCCATCAAATACGTGCTGAATTTGTTAAACCTCGCACGAGGAGCCTGTTTTAGGCCATATATAGCTTTGTGAAGTTTGCAAACGTAACCCAGATTAGCTGAATCTATGAAGCCGGGAGGTTGATGCATGTAGAATTCCTTAGTAAGATCCCTGTGAAGAAACTCAATTTTAACATCAAGCTGTTTAATATCCCAGTTCAGGACAGTTGCAATATGCAAAATCGAGTGAACCGTTGCTGTCTTGACAACCGGACTGTATGTATCCAGGTAGTCGATCCCTTCCTCTTGATCAAAGCCTTTTGCAACAAGCCATGCTTTAAGCTTGTCGAGTGATCCATCTGCATTGAGCTTTATTCGAAACACCTATTTACATCCAAGAATATTCATGTTTGGATAATAAGGGACCATTGAAAAAGTATTAGTTTCTGCAAGATTGTCCATTTCCTCTGTCATTGCTCCATTCCAGCCGGGATGTTTTAATGCTGAAGTAACAGTTTTTGGGTTCAGTGTTATGGTGAGTAGAGCGTAACAAGGGTTGGGTTTAGAGATCCCAACTCTGGACCTTGTTGTCATTGTGTGAGCAGGAGCTGTGACTTGAGGAGGAAAAATATTCTCTGAAGTAGCAGAGGATGACTGTAAAGGAAGAAAATCACCGTCTGTAAACAGAGGAGCTTCTGCATCTGAGACAGTGGAGGGACGAGTTGCAGGCTGAGAAGAAGTCTTCTGTGGAGCAGTTGTAGTTGCAGCTCCCATAAAGCTTTTCTGCCAAGCAGATAACAGAGGTGTTATAGGATTTGTGTGAAGATGTGAGTAAATGGTTGCAAAAGAGAAGATCAGCTCATCAAAGAGAATATGTCTGCTGATGTAAACACGACCGGTGGATGGGTGCAGACATCGATATCCCTTGTATTTCTTATTATACCTAAGGAAGACACATTGTAGTGACTGAGGATCAAATTTGTTGATTGCATAGGGACGAAGAGATGGATAGCAGATACACCCGAATGATTGTAAAGAAGATTACTCAGGTTTCTTGCCAAACAAAACTTCAAAAGAACTTTGATGGTTCTGCAATGTCGAATAAGGAAGCAAGTTACTCAAGAAACTTGCAGTAAAGAAAGCCTCAACCCAGTATTGTTGGGGAATTTTGCTCTCAAACATCATTGACAATCCTAACTCTGTAATATGGCAATGCTTTCTTTCTGCAATGCCATTTTGTTAAGGTGTGTGAGGACATGAGATAAGCTCACCACCATCATCGCATTGAAAAGTTTGTATTTTGAGATTAAATTGATTCTCAACAAATGACTGAAACAGTACAAAGATGGAATAGAAGTCTGACTTATTCTTCAGAGGATATAACCAACAATATCTTGAAAAGTTATCTATGAACACTACATAATACCAAAACCCTTGAATAGAACAAACTGGAGCTGGTCCCCAAAGATCTCAGTGAATTCTTTCAAGAGGCCGAGTAGCGACATAGACAGAAGAAGAGAATGGCAACCTCGCACTTTTAGCAAGCTGACAGGCGTCACAAAGTTTGTTGGCGGTCTTATTGACATAAATGGCATTAGTCTTGATCAAATGTTGAAGAATCTCAGAGCTTGAATGTCCTAACCTTCTGTGCCAAACTTCAGCACTTGTGATGAGCTGTCAATTGAATAGAAGGCTTGAAAGGGTGGTGGATTCTTCAGAACATAAAGATCAGCATGTCTGCTTCCTTGTGTCAGGAGCTGTTTGGTGAGCTTGTCCTTAATATGAACACCATCAGCGTCAAATTTAACAGAGCAGGGATAATCACGAGTTAACTTGGAAACAGATAGCAGAGATTTAGTGATATCCGGACAAACAAGGACTTCCTTAAGAGAAACAGTACATGACATCGTGTGTAAAGGAACATAACCGATGTGTGTGATTGGAAGAAAATTACCATCCGCAATCATAATGTTATCATTTCCCTGATAGTCTTGTAAAGCTTGAAGATTTTGAGTTGAATTCGTGATATGTACAGAAGCACCAGTATCCGGATACCATTCATGACCAGAGGGCTGATCTTGCTCTGAGATCTTCATTGCAGCAAGCGCTTGGGGAAGCTTGTTCTATGTGGCTTCAAAATGTTGATCATATGGCTCACAGCGACTATAACAGGTGACTGCAAAATGACCATATTTTCCACAAATCTGACATGTAGGCCTCTGACTACTGTTTGAGTAAGATCCACGGTTGTCGCTGCTGGAGGACTGTTGAGGAAAGCTAATGCATTGAGTAGAATATGCACCTCTGCCACGAAAATTGCCTTTGTCTTGCCCTCTGTCGGAAAAGCCACCTCGGTCAGCATAAAAGGCTTGATGCGGAGTCACAGAAGGTGGATCTTCATAAGTTTGAAGCTTTTCATCAAAACCAATGAGTTTATACATCACATCTTCAAACGAAGGACTGCTGTCTGAATCCATTGAGTCTTCAATCAAAGTGGAGATAGCCTCATACTCACGACCTAAACCATTGAAGACATCATATATCTTGTCCTGTTCAGGCAGAGGAGCGCCAACATAGTCCAACTGATCACAAAGTGATGTGATTTCAGTTAAATACTGAGTGAGAGGCCGAGTTCCCTTTGTAGTGGTTTGGATGCGCTTTTGAATGTTAAGACGACGAGTTGCAAAAGCTCTATTGTACTTCTTTGCAAGGTGAAACCAAACTTCTTGAGAGGAACGAAGACCATATATGCTTTTGAGAGGATTTTCAGAGAGAGAGAACCATAGATCCAAGCCATGATGAGTTGATCTGTGTGTATCCACTTGAGGAACTCAGGGTTTGCAGCTTGAGTTGCTTGATCACCATTTTGAACCATGACAGTAGAAGGAGATCGAGGGATGGCACCGCTAACATAACCAAGGAGCATTTGACTCTGTAAGAACTGCTCGAACTAAAGCTTCCACTGTAAGTAGTTCTTGTCATTGAGCTTGATAGTGACGACTTGGTTTATAGTAAGAGTAGCAGGAGACAAAATAGATGGAACCACTTCCATGGCTCTGATACCATGAAAGCAGAAAGAAGCAAAGCTTGTAGCTTGAAGAAAAAAGACAAGTTTATCTTTAAAACATTGTAATTCGATTTCTTAACAATAAAGATTACAGCTTTTTTCTATTTATATAGAAAAGAGAACACCCTAAAGGTCGCATATGAACTAGACACACTCGACAACATGTGATTCTAGGCTGGCGAATCTGTTACTGAGAGTGACTTGTCCTTTACTCTTGTACGAACAAGAGGCATTAAGTTTTTTCGTGTCTGCAAGTTGTATTAGAGAGAGCCGTTGAAGATTGATCATTCGAAGTGGGCTTTAACTGCTTTTGTAGGCCCAAATCCTTTTCACTTGTTTTGTGGGCTAACTCTTTTTCACTTGGTTTGTGGCCTAACTCCTTTTCACAAGTTTCTTTCTGTTGTTGAGAAGAAGTCTCTTTCTCAGTCTCTTTCTCAAGACCATTAATACATCACGGTGGTTCTGGAAGAGAAATCCACTAATCTGAAGTCTTCTCGATTGTCTTCCAAATTCCTAATTACTTTTTAGGATTGGATAATTTTGACGAGACTGCTCCACCACACAAGCTTCATAGTCATGATCTCAGAGTTTAGATCCAACGAGAACTCTCGACGCTTTCGGATCCCAGTTCACCTCGTTACGATGTTCTTTTGCCTTATGGTTCTATCTCCTCCGCTCCAGTGATGCAGCCATCTACACCGGAATTACCACCAGTTTGAAGTCTAGAACCGGTTTCGACAACAAAAAGCAATTCTCAACCGGAGAAAGTAATTCAACATATTAGTTACACTTTAGTGATTTATAATTTGGTGTCAAAACGATATAGTTTTAAATCAGTTAAAAGATACATACATCTTACACGGTAATAATATAGAAGGGTTATATTGCTGTTTGATTTTAACTTGATGGTTTGACTGGCATTTTTTACAAATGAAGGATAAAGTTGCAGAAAACCCTTTTTTGAAACCAACAAACAAAAAGTTACATTTAATTGTACAACAATATGAAATATAAAATACAACTAATCGAAGATTTTAAAAGCACATCTAATAGAACACGCAGTGTGGTTGTCTCTAGTAAATCTTTTGCCTTGACAAGTGTTCTTACAACAAACACAAATTGGTCGAAAAAGATTACTTTTGCTAAGAATTTGAATATCTCTTATGATTAATTGACCTGGTCTTAAATATGGATCCTTGCTAAGTAAGCAATCAATATGAAGAGTGGGGCAGCAATCATTGCACCAATAGAACAGCTTTGTGGACGTATCCTTTAAATTATTTTCGCACTCCTCGCACCAATAATTTTCACAAAGCTCTTTTCCCCATGAAATCGTGAGAAAGTGTTTGTCGTGCTTATACCTTGCTTTGTACGGTAAGGTAACACACTTGATACAAACAATGAAATCGCATTTGATGCAATTTAACGGTATTTCACATTCTGATTTGCATACCTCACATATTGGCTTCTTCTTTGGGTCCAAAGATAAGAACAAGGGATGATCATGACCTTGGTAATCAAACGGCTCTGAAACTGAAGCACATCGTACATCTAATTCAAAGTAGCATTCCTTTATTGGACACCGATAGACAAAACCACCACAACTACGCCCACAAACACTGCATTGGAATGAGCCGTATTCATATAGGTCATCCGACTCATCCGTCAATGTAAGTGGATGAGGATGTAACGTATGTTGTATTCTGCGGCGAGCTTTTACGCATGTTTCATGAAGGATGAATTCACATTCTATACAAGAATATGAATCACCTTCAAAGATAGGCAAGACACACGCTTGACAAAGCTTGTTTTCGTCAAAAAGTATGTTGTCCCCAAGAAAATAATGTAGCACTCCTTCGATTATTATATCGAACGGTGGTGCATCTTGTGTTATATCGTCTTTTTCTGGTACACCTTTGAGCTCTTCTCCATCCCACACACCTTTCCTTAGAGCACATCTTGAGTGAAAAGCATAATCACTACACTTGTCACAATTGTATGCACCGTAACCACCGTCAATATTTTGACGACAAACTCCACAAAGCCATTTTCCAGATCGAAGAGAAGAAACGTAGGAGATACGATAGTGGTGACGTGATATCTTGATGACGTATGGAGAATGCATGCAATCTTTTATGAGCTACAAAGTTACATCTAAAACAAACATATGTGGGATATTTTTTCCTAAGCAAACCACAAACGTCGCAGATTAAAGAAGTTTGTCTAGGGAAAAGTTAAGGGAATGGTCATGGCTTTTTGGTTTGTCTATAACAAATGATATCAGCCTCATCGCACATACTGTATGCATGAAAATTTGACAAATGATACAGTGATATACTAGACCTCTTGCTCTTTTTTCACAATATAAACACTTAGCCCAAGAATGAAAATAGCCATCCCAAAAATTATAATAGTATAGTTGAAGAGAATGTTCAGGATGGTAAGGGTGTTTGATTTTAATTGGAGACTCGACACATTCTTTGTGGTAAGTTTTACCACAGTAGTCACAAAAATAATAATCTGTGCCAAAATTTGAGCCCTCGCATTTAGAGCACTCACCATTGAATTTAAATTTTTCGTTGTTGCACCAGAACAAAGGGAGTACCTGTTGATAATAATTATCCCTTGTTTTAGAGAGGACTTACTCAGGAGAAGAACTGAGCTCAAGTTTGGGTTCTTTTAGAAATCTTGCAGAAGGGCATAAGAAAAGAGCTTGAGGAAGGGCATCTTCAGCGGATGAGGATGGGCTTTGTATTTGTGGTATGGGAGAGTACTTCGGGTGGTGATAAACCATAAATAGTTTACCATCCTTTTCAATTACATGAAATCCACCATCATAGTTCATAACTGCTTTCGGTGTTTTTATTTACTATATTTTCTTTTAAGGTTTTTTTTTAAACACTTGTTAGTGTATAAATATCAAGCTTCTAACAATTTTCTACTATAAATTGGAAAATTTGAGCCCAAAGAATCCCTAATTATTAGATCCTTAACGTGAAAACAAAGTGGATTTTGTTCTCTTCTTTGCTCAGAAAAAAAAAGAGTCAGTTTTGTTTCGAACATGGATTTCATCGTCTCTGAAATTACTCGACTCTTCAAGATTTTAATTTCACCATCAATTATCAGAACTAATTGATCAAGAGCCAAATAGAGTATAAATCTAATATTTATTAGCTTGATACATACTATAATTTAGCTCTTTTAATTAATTAGTTATAACTTATAAGAAAATCAATCCTTTTAGTAGGGGTGAGCATTTCGGCTTAATTTTGGATTCGATTTGAATTCGGTTTGGTTAAGCCGTAATAGATTCGGTTCGGTTTGAATGTAATTTGGTCTACTAAAATTCTAACTCAACTCAACCATAATAGATTCGGTTCGGTTTGAATGTAATTTGGTTCAGTTTGGGTTAATTTTAATATAGTTTGGTTAATAGAATTTAATTTGAAAATTTGGTTTAATATAGTTTGATATAAAAATCTATTCATTAAACAATAGGGTTAAAATAATTAATTTTATAAACATATTAGGTTCTCAGTTTAGTTCAGTTATAAATTAAACTGAACCAAACTATTCAGGTTGACAAAAATCCTAACCAAAATGTTTTGGTACAGACTTTGATTTGGTTTGGGTCAGTTTGAGTTCAGTTGGTTCGGATTGGTTTGGTTAGGTTAGGTTTTGTTTTCTCAACCCTACTTTTTATAACTATTTTCACAATAAATATGAAAATTTGAATCCAAAAGTGCTATTAGTTATTCGATTCTTAAGGTGAAAACAAAGTGAACATTATTCTTTTCTTTGTAGTTGTGATTATATTTCAATACAAGTACAGAATCAACTTGTCTTTCTTTGTTCATAGTTATTGTCATTTATGAAATTATCTTACTTATCAAAATTTTAATCAAATGATCAAGAGAAGATTGTGAAAATAACTTATTTATACGATTTTTGTAAATATCTGCGTTACTCTTCTAACTAATATTGCTTGTAGACTAATGGCAGACTGAATGCAGACTACTAACAGACTGAATAGAAAACTATTAGCAGTTTGACTGGTCAAATAATTGAATGTAAACTACCGACAGACTAATGGTAAACTAATTGTAAATTACTGACAGACTAACAGCAAACTGAAAGCAAACTTCTGAACCCCTTTTATAGGTCAATTTAGGAAAGATCATGTTTCGTAATTTTTAAGTCTAAATATTAAAATATGAATTTAAAGAAAAAAGTAAATAAAAATTAAATAATAATGTGAAGGTTAAATAGAATGATGAAGTGGCCTAATAGTGAAAATGTTGCATTAAGTAAAAAAAGGTTGCAAGAGGCCCAACAGTAGTTAGCTGCGAGCCCACCAAATTTTACACTTGCAAAAGAAATCAAAATTGAAGATGTGCTTAAGAATACAGAGCATAGAAATGCAATTTAAGATGAGAAGGAGGTGTTATAGTGTTAGAGATGAAGCAAATTTTGCGATTACCCTCAACTATCTGAACCAACAAACATAAAGTTACATTTCATAAGCACATGTAATAGAACACCTAGTGCGGCCCATGCGGTTGCCTCTAGTAAAGAAAAATATTTTGCCTTGACAAGTGTTCTTACAATAATCACAAATTGGTCGAGAAAGATTACTTTTGCTAAGAATTTGAATCTCACCCATAATACTTTAATAATTTGAGGAAATGCTTCAAAATAATTCAGACTTCATATACAGGTTTTTGCTAAGCAAGCAAGAAATATGAAGAGTGGTGCAGCAATCAATGCACCAATAAAATAATTTTGTGGACGTATCCTTTAAATTACGTTCGCACTCCTCACACCAATATTTCTCACAAACTTCTTTTTTTCATGGAACTGTGAGAAAGTGTTTGTCGTGCTTATACCTTGCTTTGTACGGTAAGGTAACAAACTTGATGCAAACAATAAAACTGCATTTGATGCAATTTAATGGTTTCTTACATTCTGACTTGCATACCTCACATATTGGCTTTTCTTCTGAGTCCAAAGATAGGAACAACGGATGTTCATGACCTTGGTAATCAAACGGCTCCGAAACTGAAGCACATCGTACATCTAATCCAGTAGCATTCCTTTATTGGACACTTATAGAAAAAACCACCACAATCACGTCCACAAGCATCGCATATATGGAATGAACCACTATCATATACTCCAATGTAAGTGGATGAGGATGTAACACATGTTGTATTTTGGGGCGAGCTTTTACGTATGTTTCATGGAAGGTGAATTCACATTCCATACAAGAATCTGAATTACCTCAAATATAGGCAAGACACACGCTTGACAAAGCTTGTTTTCGTCACATAGTATGCTGTCCTCAAGCTGGAGATGATGGTCATGCAGAAAATAATGTATCACTCCTTCGGATATCGTATCGAACGGTGGTGCATCTTGTGTTATATCATCTTCTTCTGCTACACCTTTGAGCTCTTCTCCATTCCATAAATCTTTTGCTAGAGCACATCTTACATGAACAACATAATTACAACACTTTGTAAGTGCAGTCAAAATCACAAGATTAGGCAACGTGCCTACACCTCAAATCTTTATTAAGAATAAATTTAAAAACAATTACAGTTAGTATCCAATTTGGAATTACACAACTCTAAGAACATCTTAGATTGACTCCAATCTATTCTTAACTCACTATAAGATCCTTAAGATTAGCCTCACTAATGTATACCCATGACTCTCACTTTGTGATAACCTCTCACCCTTTTCCTTCAAAGATGCCAAAAGGCTTACAACCGTTTTTCTAACTCTCAAGTCTCAAGGGATATCTTTGTCAACCCTAGAAACTCTATACTTCGAGAATTTTGTGTCTCCCTTTCCAGTTGGCAAGGCTAACCACTTTCCTAAATCCAAAGAGAAATATTCTTTTTTGATTAATCCTAATCAAACTAATATTCCTTTTTTTCATTAAATATTCCACATATCTTTTTTTCCTTATGCTTTATCTCCAAATAATGCATCCAGCTCATGGTAAATAATATATCCAAGAATATTTACACTTTCCACAAAATCGCTGCTTCTTGATGTCACGTCTGATACACCTTCTGATCGTCTCTCTGATGGCTCACATAATATGCATCTTCACAATTGTCACAAGTATATACACCATAACTGATACAATCCTTGAAAAGCTTCAAGTTTTGTTTCTTGAAATCTTTGCTTAGAAAGCTTTATGATGGATGAATGGTTTGAATGATGGAAAATCAGTTGTACTTGAACTCCAAGCACAAGAGTTTAGAATTTACTAACTCAAGGGCTAATCCTCATAAGAGTTAATAAATTCTACACTTCTCACAAGCTCTCTGAATTCCTCAAAAAAACTTAATAAAAAGCAGGAACCATTTGTAAACAAAGATGAACTTCTCTTTGAAACAAAATACTTTTGATTAATTTCTTGAATATTCTGAATATAAAATACAATGAGAAAGAGCTTATATAATGCTCATACTGAAGTGAATAAACGGTAACAATAATAAAGAAAAGCAAAGAGATAAAGCTGAAGTGATGGGATTATGTTTCTTAGCCGTTAGGCTTGAGTGGGGGAATTCTTTGACTTGGCACTGAATGAGGGATTATTGTTGGGTCCTTGGCACGAAATAAGTGTGCTGAATCCTCTAAGGATGATGGATAGTCGAGATTGAGAGAGAGATGTGGTCGTTGGTCTTCATGAATCCTTAAACCAAGATAATTGGTTCTAAAAAAGGAAACTTTTTCTTTGGCAAGATCTTCTTGGTTTTGGCTTGGTTGAGCTTGGCTATTGACTTGGTTTACTGGTTCTCCCCCTTTAATATCTTCTTGATTCGCCAAATAATGTGAATAATGTGGTTTGGTAAGACATAAATCCGAACTCTCCATATATGATTCTAATAATGCTCCATTAGCTTGATTGGGCGGTTTGAGTGGATTTAATGGTTCTCCTTTGGTTTGGATCCGGTTTGTGGCTTGAATATCTTCATTAAACAGTAAGGGTGGGTCGAATAAGATGTTGGCTTCATGTACCTTCGAGCATTCCATAAGTGGCTTCATGAAATCATTTGTTGGTTTAATCAAATGATTTGGCGGTTCTGCTGGCTTTGATTAGGGGGTTCTCCAAAACCATGGCGTGTTGTTATGAAGTCTTCAGCTCCTTTGTAGTCAGCTACATGTCTTCCTTTCTTATCAGCTTCAAGCTTATAGGCAATGAGGATTGTATCAATAACCTGGTGTTTCTTTCTTCTAAACTGCTCCATCCTCTTTAGCTCCAAGGTTTCTCTCTTTGTTAAATCCTGGTGTATAGGCAATGAGGATTGTATCAATAACCACCGTTGACACATTGATGACAAACTCCACAAAGCCATTTTCCAGATTGAAGAGAAGAAACATAGGAGATACGGTGGTGGTGACGTGATATCTTGATGGTGTATGGACAATCGTTATAAGCTACAAAGTTGCATCAGAGACAAACATAAGTGGGAAATTGTATTCTCACCAAACCACAAACGTCGCAGGTTAAAGAAGTTTGTCTGGGAAAAAGGTGAGAGGATGGTTTTATTTAAGGTTTGACCTCTTATAAATATATCTTCAAGCATAAATAGATTTATAATATATATTAGCCAATTATAGAGTACAAATCCAGGTTTTATTAGCTCGATATATTTCAAACCAAGTTTATGCTTGAAGATATTTATAAGAGGTCAAACCGAGCAAAGTATTCGATTTCATTAGAAACATTATCCAGCAAAAAAACTCTGCTCGATTATTATCACAAGGTGGAAGGACATTGAAACTAAGAAAACCAAATGCATATGTTTGTATCTAACAACCTCTTCTTCTAATGTGCTCCCAAGTATAGTTTTGTTCCACGAAGTTGATTGCTTTGGTGTTCTTTTGAGAGTTGTGGAATAGCCCAAATCGAAGCTTGTATCCATACAACGTAACCACTAAAAATTATCTAATAGCGACCATACTGGGAGGATTGCATAAGCCAAGTTTTCATTGTATCCCACTATACAGATACTTAACTGTGTCCAAGTTTGTTGTTTACACAACACCAGATCTATATAGAGAGCATGCATCAATAATATGTTTCAGAATCCCTTGTTGTATCTAAACTAGTTTAAACCAGTAAACTTGAGGCTTGTGTGCACATATGTTTTGCCAGATGAATGAAGCTTTAAAGATTTAATAGATATTCTCATTCACTTCCCTATAGTATCTAGGCATCATTCTCATACATCATAGTGTTTTGAACATATAAGCTATGAGTGTTTGCCAACACATGAAGAAAATGAAGTATCACTTCTACCTTTCAGTATCATGTCAAGTTTGATATATTCAAAAATCACCTTCATTTTCTTCATGATCAGTTTAATTACTTCTCTAATATTGAATTTTTATTATTATTGCGAATTAACTTAAGGTGAAATAAAATCTACATAATTTTATTTGCTACTCTTGTCGTTAATTTAATTTGGTTACAACAAACAAAAACCATATGTTGTTCTAGGTTAACTTTACTCTAAATAAAATCAAAGCATGTGTGACATTGGGTATATGAGGATTCGATCCTTTTCAATACTTTGCATAAAAAAGGTTTTTCTGTTGATTTAAGACATATATTATGTTACATTTAAAAAAAAAAAATATATATATATATATATATATATTATCATCTAAATGTATCATCGTCTTTCGAGAAAATTTTGTTATGCAATACAAATTCAACTCGTTATCCAAATAAGCTCTCTTCCTTTTTTTGTCACTAATATTTGTTGTGCAAATTACCATTAGCATTTCAAAAGCTCACAGCACATTAGTTTATTTCTTTTTAAGCTTGGACATATTGTCGTATAAGAAAGTACTAAAAACAGCAGGAAAATTAACACATCAAAGTCAAATCGTAACAGATTTACAAAAGTAAAATCAATAGTAATAAACATATAAATTTCACTTATATAGGGATAAATAACTCACTATGTTTCTAGTGAAATCTTTCATAGATCTCATAGCCACACCTCATAGAACATGCTATGTCATTTTCTATCTTGAATATTTTTCCTTTACAAGGGTTCTTACAATAATCACATAATGGTCTAGAAAAGTTATTAGTGCTAAGTATCTGAACTTTCTTGGTTCCCTTCTTCATCCATTTTAATTCGAAAAAATGACCTTGCTTCAGATATAGGTCTTCTCCAAATAAGCATTTGATATGAAAAGTAGTGCAGCACTCACTGTATCAATAAAACACTTTCGTGTCTGTATCTTTTAAACTACATTCACAGAGCTCACACCAATTTTTTTCACATATCTCTTCTCCCCGTAAAATTGTAAGAAAATATTTATCATGCTTATACCTTGCTTTGTATGGTAAGGTAGCGCACGTGAAACATATAATAAAATCACACTTGATGCAATTGAACTGTTTACGACATTCTCCTTTGCATACATGACATATGGGTTTTACTTCTGGGTCTAAAGCTAGGAACAAGGGATGTTCATGACCTTTGTAATCAAACGGCTCAGATATGGAAGCACAACTTACATCTATAACAAAGTTGCATTCCTCTATCTGACATCTATAGAAAAAGCCTCCTAAATAACGAAAACAAGCATCGCATCCTTCATGACCCAAAACGTTTTGAGTCATAGGCTTCAAAGTAAGTGGATGAGGATGTAACACATGTTGTATTCTACGGCAATATTTTGCGCATGTTTCATGAAGGATGAAATCACATTCAATACAAGTGTAGAAAGTACCTTCAACGATAGGTAGAACACATGCCTCACAAAGCTTATTTTCGTCATAAAGTATGTTGACTTGGAGTCGGAGATGATGGTCATGAAGAAAATGAACTATCACTCCTTTCGATATAATATCAAATGGACCGTCATCTTGTGTTATATTATCATCATCTGGTACACCTTCAAGTTCTTTTTCATCCCAAACATCTTTCCCAAGAGCACATCTTATATGAGCAACATAATCACAACACTTGGCAAAAGTATATGCACCATAACCACCAACGATACATTGACGACAAACTCCACAAAGCCATTGTCCAGATGGAAGAGGATGAATGTAGGAGAGACGATGGGGGTGACGTGATATCTTGGATTCTTGATGATGCGTGGAGAATACATACAATCATTATGAGCTACAAAGTTGCATCTAAGACAAACATAGGTCGGATAATTTTTTCTCTCCAAACTACAAACATTGCAAGTTAAGGAAGTTTGTCTGGGAAAAAAGGTGAGAGGATGGTCATGGCATTTTGGTTTGTCTATAACAAAGGATATCAGCCTCATCGCGCATATCGGATGCATGACAGCTTGACAAATGGTACGGTAATATACTAGATTGCATGCTCTTTTTCCACAATATAAACACTCACCCATAGAAGAATAAAAGTAAAGTTGGAGAGAATGTTCAGGGTGGTAAGGGTGTTTGATTTTAATTGGAGACTCGACACATTCTTTGTGAAAAGTTAGGTCACAGTGATCGCAAAAATAATAATTTGTGCCAAAATTTGAACCGTAACATATAAAGCACCCACCATTGGCTTTGAATTTTTCATTGTTGCACCAAAACAAAGGAAGTACATGATGATGATTCTCAACCCTTGTTGTAGAGAAGACATACTCAGGAGAAGACTTAAGCGGGGCAAGTTTGTGATATTTTTCAGAGCAGTCTTTTAGATATCGTACACGAGGGCATAAGAATAGGGGTTGAGGAGGGTGGTCGTGGCTGGGACCTTCAGAGGATGAGGATGGGCTTTGTATTTGTGGTATGGGACAGTACTTCGGGTGGTGATAAACCATAAATAGTTTACCATCCTTTTCGATCTCATGAAATCCACCATCAAAATCCATAACTGATTTAGGTGTTTTTTTGCTAGATTTCTGTTAAGGTTTTTTAAAACTTGTTGGTGTTAAATTATCAAGTTTCTAACAACTTTCTTACTATTTATAAGAAAATTTGAGCCCAAAAAGTTTCCTTCTACTTCTAATTATTGGATCACTAACGTGAGAATGAAGTGGATTTTGTTATTTCTTTGTAGTTGTGATAGTGTTCATTTCAAGGAATTAAAGAGTCAGGTTTCTTCGGATATGGTTTTCATCCTCTCCGGAACTATCCAAATTTTCAAGATTTTGATTTTCACGATCAATTTTTACATCAAATTGATCAAGAGCCACATATAGTACAAATCCACGTTTTATCAGCTCGATATATATATTTCATTTAAAATCTTTTAAAATTATTAGTTTTACAAAAAATTAAGTTTATGTTGAACCAGAAAATTACCACTAGGAATTTGATTAATATTTTTGGATTTCGAAGAACAAGTTTTTTATTAATAGCTCAAAGATAAAGCGATTACAAAGATTGATATAACCAAGAGGTTATGCCGAAGTGAAAAGAAAGTGTTTGCGAAGTAAACTAGAAAGCATAGGAGTTCTTGGTTTTAGCTCTGCTGCTCTCTAGGTTGTATGAGTTGTCCTTCTTGTGCTTCAAGGTCTTCTTATTTATAGGAATATAATGTCGGTTGCTCCGAGCTCCTTTTTCTTTTCTTCTTTGGTGAATATTTCCATCATTTGCGATATGGAAATATCACTTGTTCTCCGAAAAATATAGAAATCCTCATTTATTCTTGAATATTCCTTAAAGTCGATCCGACTTTTTGGGAGTTTCAAGATTCTCTTCGAGGTTTTCCTTTTCAGAATTATGTCGACGTAGTCTTCCTAATCTTGATGGGCTTGGGTTATTGCTAGAGAAAGTCTTTTAGGAAATGTGTTCATTTCCCCTCTAACAATAAGTCCCCCCCCCCCCCCCCCCCCCCCCCCCCCCCCCCCAGTTCGGTGATACTGATTGTGAATCAGGTCGGCGGACTTCATGAAGTTAAGTGGGTTTGATCTCGCAATAAGCATCAGCTCGTCAAGAGCGTTTCTTCGTGATGGGCAGCTCAGCCCATTTTTATGTGGATTTGACACGTGGCGCTTCTTTTGAATAAATTTATTAAATATTTCGACTCATTAGGGTTTTGCTTCAAGCAGAAAAGGCGAAAAGTTTGCCAGACGGCGAGATTGTGCAATCTCGACACGTATCCCTTTAGGAAACTGTTGATATTTCTTTCGATTTCATTTACTGAATATTTATCTCTTCGTCTTCTTGCTCCAGAAATTTCACTTTCCTTGGATTGCTTTGCAAAAATTATTTCTTTGCTGCAATAATGTTCTTTCACTCGCCGATCTTCCTTTTTCTTCTGCGATTCATCCAGAAATTTTTTCTTTTGGAAAATATCGATTTCGTCGCATAGCTCCTCTTTCAACGACGATGAGATTTCTCTCGTTGATCGCACACGGCGAGCCTGGGCTAGTCCCGTTCCCTCTTCTTCGAATTCTGGGGGGTCTTCAGGGTACCGAGATGAGATCTCGCCGGATAACTCCGATATAGATTCCGAGATGGAATCAGAGAGTTCCGAGCCAGTGAGCCGGATTGAGGGCCTTCTGCGAAAGATAGTGATGTCAAAGCATACGACCGGCATCAAGGACAGGAGGACCTGGATGACCGCGGAGAGGCTTCAGGAACTTCGGTCGAGGTGCTGCTTTCCTGAGGGATTTGAGCTTTCGCTTCCTCAGGTTCATGAGAGAGTAACGACACCGTCGAAGGGTTATTTCTGTATTTATGAATGCCATTTTGCGGACTTCAGCCTTCAATTTCCTATCTCATCGCTTCACCGTTACTGCAAACAGAGAAAGATGCCAGTGGCACAGCTCTCTCATGCTGTAATCCGCCATTTCAACAGTTTAGTGGCGGTTGCTCGGATGGCGAAGGTACCTTTCAACTGGGATATCTTCGAGAGAATATCCATTTTGAAGAAAGGAAAGCTATACCGCGGGGGGTGGCGCCACTTTTACACTACGCTGAAGCAGGGGATTGTTGGTGGGGACCCAACAAGCAAATTTCACGAGTGGGATCGGTTTTTCTTCTATGTGAAGATTAACAAGGCGTCTACTGGCAGCCCCGAGCTTGATTTATTCAGAACTTGGAGGTCGACACCTTGTAAGACGAACTGATCTTCGCTGTTTCCTTATTGTTTTTTTTTTTACTTTCGGCTAATTTCAAGGTGTTGGCATACTTGCTCCTCTTCTTTATTGTGATAGTGGTAATTAGCCTTGGGAAGGATCCGTTTGGTCTCGACGTTGACATCATGAAGTTGTGCAATTTGAGCCAAAAATTGTGGTCCGAGAAGGAGAAAAAGGGGGCAACCGAGAAGAAGAAGAAGAAGTTGGCCAAGCTGGCCGAGAAGCAAGTCAAGCCTTCGAAAGCAGGTGCGCTGCTAGACCGAATTAACTTCCTCGTCTTCCCTTCCCATTTTTCTTTAGAGCGTGGTGCCTTATTCGTATATTTTGATATTTTTAGCCGCTAAGAAGACGTCGCAGCCAAGACCCAAAGGGGTTGGTCAGAAGAGGAGGAGGGTGACTCCGGTGGTGGACGCACCTCTCCCTGTGAGTACATCTACGAAGAGGAGGAGAATGACTCCTCGAGTCGCGCCTATTAAGGTGGACTCGGGCGAAGTCGGGCCGGCTTCGGATAACGAAGGCTTTGTGAGCAAAATCACGAGGTAAAGTTTTACCCTTGGTTTGTGTTTTGTTTTAGTGAGTTGACGCGATTTTTGACGCGTTTATTGCTTTTTCCAGCTTCTCCAGGGCAGCAGCGCGGGAAAGGTTGAGGCGAGCTAGAGCCGAGAAGGCTACAGGGGATTCTCAGGGCGAAGCGGTTCAAGAAACCACTCCTAAAACCGAGGGCGGGGGTGATGGAGACTCCCATTATGCTGTGGCGAGCTGCCGTGAAACCGCTTCTTCGCCTCCCGGAGCTAATGCTCCTCAAGATCCCGGGGCTCAGGATGTAGAAGATACAGGTCGGAAAAGGACCGAAGAATTCGCTACGGCTCGTTAGGAAGCCGAACTTCCATCTAAGGGTTCTGCTCCTCCGGAAGGTGTTGATGCTCAAGATACCAAAGGTGCGAGCCGGGACGAGACCGGAAATAATGCGCCGGGTGTTTTTACCAAGCCAAAACCGGAGGAGGAGTTTCCAGACTACAACCCTCACCATTTTAGCTTGAAATGAGACTGTGTTACTCCGGCAATACTTGACCGTGAGTTTGCCGCGAAGCTAATCTGGAAGTGTATTAAGAACTCAAGGTGGGGTAAACCTCTGCGGAAGCTGAAGCTGGCAGAGTCGATCTCTTCTGCTAACCATCTGATTGCTCATGTATTTGATAGTTGCCGTGTCTCTTGTGTTGCTTTATCGCATGCTCTAATAGCAAATCATGGTATAGGGTTTAGGTGCTTATATGTCTACATTCGCAACATATGATAAATATTATTGTCAAGAGGAGATGATGCTTGACGTTGCTTGCACCAAGATTGAAGAGCTTTCAAAGGTTGAGGAGGAGAACCAGCTTCTCAAAGAGAAGTGTTCTCAGCTTGAAGGCTCGGTAGATGTTCTCACGTTGAAGGTAGCGGAGTCGTCGCGTCTGCGTAAAGAGGTTGCAGCCTTCAAAGCGCGAACTGAGTTCCTTGAGAGGCAAAATGAGGAGAATTTGCAAAAGTTCCTTACCGAGAAGGAGAAGCTTCAAGGTTCTCGCGATGAAGCGATGCGAGATGTTGCTGACAAGGTTTTTGATAGCATGATCTCCTGGTTTAAACCGCGGATAGAACGGGTTCAAGCGTCGCTTGTCCAGCGAGAGGAGGTCGAAGCTGCCCTTGTGGGCGTGGAGAAGAATAGCGCTATGGTAGCGGACCTGAAGAGGATGCAAGACAAATGATGAACTCCCTGCTGGAACGCTTCCGGTATTCGAGAGAGAGTTTGCGAAGTGTTAAGCTACTAGTGATGCTATCGAGGAGATAGTTATTAGTACTGGTGACGATCTTAGTCTACCGAGCAGACCTGACATCGACAAGCTGTTAAAGCAAGCGCAAGGAGAGTTAAGAGATGATTAAGCTGCTTATCTCCTCTCCTTTTTTTGGTTGTAATTTTACTTGTTTTTGCGTAGCCATCTATGTAATGACATTGCTCGAATGAATTTTTATATATTGGAATTTAATTTCCGTTGCCTTGTTTACTGTTTTTTTTGTTTAAAAGTAAATCAAAGTGATTTTTTTTTTAAGTTTCTTTTATGCGATGGAACTTTTTATTTCGGAGTTGGGAGTAGGATTCATTTGCCAGTCTTATACCAAACGACAATCAAGATGGAATACCAAGCTTTCAGGATTCACTTCGGCCTGAAAGGTATGATCGAGGGTCGTGCGAGTGTTGTCCTCGACCTTTGTCTTATCTACTTCGTAAGTAGTTAAATCAAACTGAAGTTTCAAAGGAGTGGCGATCAGCCACAAATATAATTATTGCCTTTTGCTTTTTGCTTTTTTCGAATTGAATGTTTGGCCAGAACATCGATTCAGCAAGATGCATTTGCATAAGGGAAGATTGCTCTACGTGCCGAGCTTATTTTCTAAAATATAAATTTATTATATTTACAGCTGCACCCAGAGGTTACCTACGTATCTAAGTCGGGATCAAGCCGTTCATAGTTTGCTACAATTATTGGATGAGTGTTATCACTCAGGGGCCAAGCCGGCCTTTATTGATAAAATAAAAAAGACTAAATATAAAAGCTGCGAGATTCTTGTCGAATCTACTCCGTTTGTTCGGCGTCTTCGAGGGCTTTTTCTGCGGAGAGTCGCACTTTGCGTTCGCTGATGAAGCAAGATCTTGCCATATGCTGATTACCGCAAAGTGTGAAGATACCAACCGAGGTAGCAAACTTCATGCATTGATGATAAGTTGACACGATGGCTTTCATCTCGTGGATCCAAGGTGTGCCAAGTATGACATTATA